TAAATAAATGTTTGGACTTTTGTGAAAAAGCAAGTTCTGAACAAAGAGCTATAAAGGCATTTATACAAAATGAAGAGACATGTTTCAAACTGATTCAGCAGAACGGGCAATGCTACAGTCCATGTTGCTCACAGAAACCTCTCTACTGTTCTTAAAATGTTTTAAACTTTTTGTAAGTTAAACTTTTTGTAAGTTCTTCTTACAAAACTGAGCAAAGAACAATTGTCTGTTCCAGTGAATAAGGCTCACATATCCCATTCTCTGATTCTTGGTGAGTTCCTGAGTACCCACCATACCAAAGGTTTTCAAAGCTACTGCCAATATTCAATGAAACTGCATGTTCTGTAGATGTTCAAAAGAAAAACAGGTGGGATACAAATATACTGTACTTATAAAATTATGTTTAATTAATTGTTCTTCAGCCCCAAAAAAGGTCATGGAGGATTCTCAAAATAAAATGGGGGGGGGAGAAGCACAATAAAAGTAGGGTTGCCAGGTGTCCACTATTTGAGCGGACAGTCCACTTTTTCACATTATGTTCACTATTTTTTTTCACAAAATAGTGGACATTTTTTTTATTCAAAAGCTTTATGATGAAATGGTACGTAATCTAAAGCTGTACAGTCTACTTTTTTACTACTTAACACCCCCCCCCCGCTTGTCCGCTATTTTTTGGAAGCAGACCTGGCAACCCTAAATAAAAGGTCTGGCACAATAACATTTGACAAAATGCAACTGACAAGAGAAACAATTAACTTAAACAGGTGAAAGTCATGTAAGGTTCAGTGGAAACTGAATATTTTTTTTAAGCTTGCTTCATAGTTAGTCAAAAAGAAACTATTCGAATATCTTTTATGGAGGGCATTCCAAACCATTGGTACTAAAGAAAGTGCCATCTTTTCATTTTTCTTGGAAAGATAATTAATTAATTAAATAATAATAATAATAATAATAATAATAATAATAATAATAATAATAATAATAATAGTAATAATAATAAGTACATTTCCACTTTATTCAAAAGAAATAGATAATGAGGCATTAAATTGTAACATTATGACTGTCATGCCAGTTAACCTGCTATTCTCCAATATGGAGAATAGAAGAATCTATATAACACTAAAACTCTTGTTGTCATGATTTTAAACTGAGTGAAATGGTGCATCAGAGGATAGCAATTTTGGGGCTAAGGCACCTTGTATGGGCTAACTTAAAATATGTCCAAAATCTAGGACCCAATGTTTTCAACTCCTAGGAAATCAAATTTGGGGAAGTTGTGGCTACTTCAGTGCATTGGCAGTGGCTGCTACGGTCACATGATCTTCATTTTCGAAGTTCCATGACAGTTTGCCAGCCAATCTCACAATCCGTGGCTCCTTCCAACCCAGCAGCAGCAATTTACCTTTCTCCAGGGAAGGGAAGGGAAGAATGGAAGGGGAGGGGATGGCTCTTGTGCATTATTCCTGGTGGAAGGAAGGAAGGAAGGAAGGAAGGAAGGAAGGAAGGAAGGAAGGAAGGAAGGAAGGAAGGAAGGAAGGAAGGAAGGAAGGAAGGAAGGAGGGAAAATTTTTATACTCCCTGCCAGCTTTCCAAAGGAAACTCAATTGGGAAGCTGGCAGGAAGTTAGAAATAGCTCTGGTTCCCACTGCTTTTTTTGCCCACCCATAGACATTCTTTTCTTTGTTTATATAACACATTATCTCTGAAGCAATGATCCAATGGGCACAAGCTGTCTAGAGACTGTTAATTATGATTTTATAAAAATAAAAGTTTGAAGGAACTCCCTCAAAAGCATAATACAGGCACTGGGACAAAAAAAAAGACTAAAAGTATGGATGGGTTCTTCATCTGACATTAAGAATAAACAGGCATGCTTGGGTAAAAGAAAATGCAATAAATAAATGTCCACAACAATTAACAGAATTAGCATTTCAAAAATAATCTTTTTGAAATGATTCCTTAATATTAAATATTTAGATTTTCCAGCTGTTTTATTAATACTTCCAAAATTCAAATTAACACCTTGAAGGACAGTATTTAGGAACTACAATAATATACTGTATAACAAAATGCCATGCTAGACATCACATGCTTAGGTTTATTTTATGCATTATTATGCTAGTCATGAGGAAAAAAGTATGATGCAGATATTCCATTTTTATTCTTGTTCCTTCAAAGTGTGTACCATTCTTGTTTTTTCTCTTCACCAAAAAACAAAATATAGGCATAGTTTTGTTTGTTTTTAAAACACATAGTTCTCCATACGCTACAAGGTTATTGCCTCCAGCACTTGTTATGACCAAATGCACAGTACATGGAGTTGCTGGCACTGCATGCACCCAGATGGCCAAGCCACTGAGGCATCACTTGTTAAGGAGGTGTGACAGTGAAAATATGCTTGTCATTGATTAGCAACTGCTGAAAGGCATATGTTTGGATTGCACTAGTGACAGCCTGCACCGAAGCAACTTCCTTTAATTCTTCATAATACTGGACATTTTCTAGGCTTTTTGTTTCTGGTATGATGGAGACAACGAACTAGAGTTTTCTTATATGATAGTAGCAGTAGTAGAAAAGATAGCTAAAGTATATTATAATTTAGGGGCTGATTTAGGAATCATGCCTCATTCCAGAAATATGTCAGTTAGTTATTATGGTTAGAATGATGAAAACCTTCTGGTAATAGAGTAGTTGAAAGGCCAGATGGAAAGAAAAAGCTTTCCCTACAAAACTTTCCAAAATGCTTCCTTTCAAAAATATACAAAAAGGAATGTACTCTTCTTATACTTAAGAAGGCAAATGATCTGACTGTCAAATCTATATCAAACTGAGTAATTAATTTAAACTATTCAAATATTTCACTCTAAAAATGTCATCAGTTTTTCCACCAATTAAAAAGATGACATCTGCTAGATATCTGCTATTAATCAGTTCCCCAACATAGTACGGTTCAGATATATTAGACTTTGATTGCTTTGGGATTATTGGAAAGGAAAGAAAAAACTGCCCTACACCAAAGACTGTTAAAGTCAGAACTTTAAGCTATCATAAACTTTAAACTATCATAAACATAGACTTGCAGACTGAAGACCTTGACATATTCTTGTTTTGTTTCAGTCACTTATCTGAATAAAGGATAGACTGAACAAAACATGGACCTCCTGTCCTAGAGTTTTGAAGTCAGGCAACATTCCCAATTCTGGTCAACTCAGTTGTTTTTGTTGATTTGGGGCCAGTTTTAATGATTGCCAAGTTTTTTTTTTTAATTTTGGCATACGGGCACTTTTCCAAACAAAATGAGATTGCAACCAATCCCATGTTTTATTTTCTTGAAATCGCTTATGGCCTGGGAAAGTCCCAAAGACATGATTAGAATAAAAATGATGAGCGAGGTTGCAGCTTTGTTTTTTAGCAAAGAACAAAAACCTATGGAGATTCTCAGTCATCCAGGTCACCATTGTCTCAAAAGTGCTTTTCCAAAAAGCAACTGGGCTTTGTTTTTCTTTGAAGATGTTTCACTTTTCATCCAAGAAGCTTCTTCAGTTTTGACAGTCAGAACTGAAGAAGCTTCTTGGAGGAGAAGTGAAAGGTCCAGTTGCCTTTTGAAAAGTACCTTTGGGGCAAAGAACAAATATATTTCTCATTTTTAAAAGAGCTACATGATCTAAGTGAATAAACAAAACCAGCCTGGCAGAAATAATGGAAGTTGCCCACAGATGCACCTTTCCTATTTTGCACTAGGATAATGAATTGAACACAATTTACTTCCATCTTGAATTGTTTGGGTCAACTTCATTGCAATTTCAGGGAATAATTGCTGCAATGCAACAGACATGCATGAAGCAACAAAGTTTCACTTTAATGAAGCAATTTGTGTGAACTAAACAATTTGGTAACATTACATTGCATTGTGTCAGGTTTTGGAGAAGGATGTTTCAGCCTTCCAGACTGCCTGGCTAATGGACTAGCCACAGTCCTCACCAAAACTGCCCAGCCTGGTGAAATTTCATGCCTCAAGAAAGCACCAGGTGATTATATTATTATTTTAGAGTATCTTTCTCTAATACTTCCCAGGAAGTCTCAGTCTTGTATTCCAATCTCTAAGGAAATAAAGAAGGAAAAGTCCATTTGTGTGCCCGAGACATCATTTGTGTGCCCGAGACATTCCCAGGCCAGTTTCAGCAAGTAAAATTTAATAAATAATAATTCTATAGTAAAGGATTTGCTGCTGTTTTAACAATTTTAAAACAGTACTTAGTTTATAGCTTTATTAGAAATACTGTCATCATGGTTTACAGAAACTATTGTATTACAAATGAACCAAAACTTGCCCAGAAGTCATCTTTATGCCTTCAGTCCAACAGGTCAGAAATAGTGAACAGCTCTCCACTTGCCTATAAAGCTGGTCAAGTAGGTGATAAGACCATCTCTGTGCTTACAACACAAACCTAGCTTTTTCTGGGGCTGATTCCATGTGAGCTGCAAACCTGGTGAAGGAAGATTCTAGTTCACATGGAAGCGTTTGTGTATATGTGATACCCTCCCACCCCTACTGAAGACAATGATGCTATATGTTTATGTCACCAGTTTGACTAGGGAATATTAGCTTCTAATGAATGCTGAAGATTCTAAAATAATCCTTTTTAATTGTATGAGGTTTATAGTCTACTGATTTCTCAGTAACTTATATAAAACTACACTGGAATGCCAAATTTGTTGAACTAAAAGCAAGATGAATTAAACAAGCTTGTATATTTACAGAAGGAAAATACAGACCCTCTGACATTGCCAAAAATGGCTAATGCTATTTGGAAAATGACAACACTGAAAGGAGAAACTGGCTGTATACCAATTCTTCATACTTTATGGAGCAGATCAAAGGTACTCGGTGGAATATATGCAGATAAACTTTTTAATAAGGCATGCAAAAGAACAAACAGTTTAAAGAATCAAAAGGTAGAAATGTTACAATGGAATAAAAAGAAGGTGCTCAAATTTACCTCTTCTCTATGGTTCTTTATTGGCATACAAAGGATGCTTTGTGTTTTATAGCCTGTGATTTGGTCCACTTCAGCATTGAATCGGGAATCCTGCCAAAGAAAGAAAATATGTAACTGTGCACACATCCTCTCAAAAATTGTTCTCATTTATTTATTTCATAAAACTATGGGATATCTAACAATTCCTTCTGAAAATTATATTTGCATTCTGAGACAGATGATAAGAAGATTCAATATATTTAGGAATTTCTGTCTTTTAAAAAAAAATTCTAAAGGTCTGTATGGAGTCTACCTTGGCGGGTCTTTGTTGCTCTCTGAGTTTGGTTGTTTTCTTGTATTCAATTCTTTACCCAAATTAGGTAACATCATCAGTGCTAGTCAGCAAGAAAACAACCAAGCTTAGAGAGTACCAAAGACCTATTATTTCAACCCTGAGCTACAAATATGCTTTCTTAATAGAGTCTATTTTAAATAACCTCTCATCTGGATTATTGAAATGTGCTGTACATGAGGTTGCCCTTGAAGAGCATTTGGAAGCTTCAACTGGTGCAGGATGCAGCTTCATGGTTAGTAAAGGATGTTGGATTTCACTACATGTAACACCACTGCTATGTTAGCTGCATTCGCTGCCAGTGTGCTTCCAGATACAATTCAAAGTGCTGGTTATCACCCTTAAAGCCTGTCTGGGCTTTGGGCCAAGTTACCTAAGGCAGGGCTTTCCAACTGGTGGTACACGTACCACTGGTGGTACGTCGGCACCTGGCAGGTGGTACGCTTAGGATGGGTTGAAAAGCACTGTAAAAAAAGTGTAGCATGGGGATGAGCTGAAGCGGTGGCAATGCAGCACAGGCCTGTGGGAGAGCCAGCTGGAGCCGTGGTGTTGCCGGGGCTCTGCTGAGTGCCCAGGATTCACGCCAGGCTCCAGCTGAGTGGCGCTTCTGAAAGCTGTGCGCAGCCTGGGGAAAGGAATCAGTTGAACTACACCAAAGAGAAAAGGAGGAGGGGATAGACATGCCCGTGGGGTGTTTACATTTGGCCCGGGAACACCCTGGAAACAGAGAGGAGCCGGCTTACCTCAGCTTGCAAAGGAAAACCCAGAATCCAGCGGGCCAGAAGGCAGCCCAACTACCACTCCCCTCCGGTTCCTTCTCCTTGCCCCCTGGGCACAGACACAGTCGCTGCTCCTCACCATAGCTGGGACGAGACTTGCAAGACTTGCCCCCCCTGCCACTATGCCAGCAGCCCTGACTAAAGGCCTAGCACTCCAGCCTCGCCTTGCCCAGGAAGGGGGCGGCAGTCGAGACTACATCCGATTTGCAGCTTGTAAGGGGCACTCAAAGGCTGCCCAACTTTACTCTGGAATTTCCTACTAATTACAGTATACCTTGTGGGTTTTTTAAAGAGCTTATGAGAAATGATTTTTTCTGAAAATTAAAGGATGTATGGATTGAGTTGTGAGACAGGGAAGGGAAGCACATGGACTTATGCACTTCCAATTGCTGACAGGTGTGCCACTAATATTCTGACTGGACACCTGCATGCTCTCAGGGCCCAAAGATTATCTTCATTCTCCATAGGGCAATATTGTGGATTAACTATTTTTTTACGGGTTCTGATTTTAAGGTGAGTATCTTGAGCTATGGAGATCTTTGATCTTCTTCTTACATACATAATAATAAAATAATTAGAACTAAAGGCTCAAAGGGAAGGCATATTAGAAAGAACAAGACCTTTGGGGGTCTTCAATTCCCTTCCTGTTAAGAATGCCTTAATAAGGTTTGCTCTTCCTTCCTAACATCAATAAAAATGGTTTTTCCAGAAAATATGTGAAGGGCTATAATTAGTGATTTAACTATGTTTTCTTTTTGGCTGTGTTTTAATTTATATATTATGTATATTTAATTGAGGAAGGCTTGGAGAGGTAAATGTGGCTAATATGGAGGCTGCACCTTACCCTCCAGATCTCTGTCTCCCCTGAAAATCGCTGGAGAGGAGGAGGGGGTGGCAGGGGAGCTGTGTGAGGGAAGGCTGCCCCAACAAGCCAGCATCCTTACCATGCACAATTGGAAATGGGAATTCCCTTTCAAGAAGGGCCAGCCTCCCTTTATAGGACCAGGAGCGCTGCTCCCCTGCCGCCTCCTCTAACTCTCCAGAGATCTGTCAAGATAGAAGTTGGACTTGAAGCAAACGTGGAGGATGCAAACGTCCTCCACCTCCTGCTTTGCCGGAAGGGGGCACCGAACAGGGAAACACCAATGATGTCTGAGATTGGGAAAAGAACATCTCTTTAGCGTGCTATACACACACACACAAACATTTCAAGCTTAGAGACCTGTATCCACATCTAAGCGAGCAAATTGGCAATCATGCCTGGGCTTGGAGAGAAGGCCCTCTCCTTCCTCTGTGGACAAAAGTCCCCAAACCTGGAATGTGGTGTGCATGTGTGCATGTGTGTGTGTGCGCGCACGCGCGCATGCGCTTGGCTGCTAGCAGTTTGGATAGGTGAGGAGTTTGTGGGGCACCGAATTGTCCCCACATCGAGTTAGCCAGTGCAACTTGTTCCATTCTGACCCAGCTGTCTCGAGCCAGCTGTGTCCAGTGAGTGGCATCAAGCATCAAGTACCACCTGCTAGGTGACTGGTGGTACTCGAATATTGCCATATCCTAAAAGTGGTACAATCTCTGAAAAGGTTGAAAAGCCCTTACCTAAGGGACCATCTTCTCCCAATCATTTCTACCTGTCCAATTCAGTCCAGTAGGTTGAGCACATTATGGGTCCTGTCGGGCCATGAAAACTTGATTGGAAGCCCAGGCCAGGGGCCCTGATTGTGTTAAGGTCTCATTTCTCAATTGTATTAGCATCCATGGAAATAGCTCTACTCAGTTACCATACATACTTTTTTGTATTGTATTACTTGTTTTTAATTTGTTTTTATATTTTATGATGTGTACTACAGAGATCAAATAAATAAATAAAACAAACATTTTCTTTTTCATCCAGGCAAGGTTGTTATTACCTGTGGTCGCAACAATTAATGCATTTTGATTGATACAATAAAAATAAACGGGAACTTTTGCAAGACTGGAGTTACAACCAGTCTATTTTCCTTCACATTATGTTTCTTAATATTTACATTCCATAAATAGCAACTCAAGCAATGTTACAACAAAAAAGAACGAAAGAATTAGCAAAACTCTAGTCCAGGCATGTCAAACTCGCGACGTCACGTGATGTCGCGCGACGTATCGGAACTTTTTCTCCATTGCCGGCAATGGGGTGGGCGCAGTTTTGGGATGACGCGTCCGGCCCGCGGGCCGGCAGTTTGACACTCCTGCTCTAGTCTATTTCCTTTCACTAAAACAAAAATTTACTATTGTGCAAAATAAGACATACAAAGGCACAGATTTTTTTCAACATTTTCTAAATTGTATTTGAATATAGTATTCTTGTGGCCAATGGACTAATATAAATGAGAAAAAAGTGAACGAATTAAATTATGCCATTTTTATTTATCCAAGATGGAATTTATTAATTAATTAATCCTAGGTGAAATTAATTAATTAATTGATTGATTGATTAATAACATTTATATAGCCTCCCAACTTAAAAAACAGCTCTGAGAGTATTCTATACATATTTCAGCATACTGACATGTATTTGTAGTTCAATTTCATCCAGCAGAAACACTTATTCTAAAAGCTTTCAGGCAACACAACCCAGTTTGCTATTTTTGACTATCCCCAAATGTTGAAAGAAAGCAAAATTCAAGGTTCAAACTACACCCACAATCCAAAGCTTCACTTCCAGTGAGACTGCACCTGCAACAATTGCAGGTATCTCTCTTTATAAAGTCCTAGCTTCTTGATGTAATGTAAATAAAGACTGAGATCTAGCATATATATTATGTGTTTGATTCAGTTGTTGGTTGACTGCTTATTGTCTGAAGGGCCCAAAGGAAAGAAGCTTTC